AACAGAAAACAAGTACTGGTTCAATTTTGCTATATTAAATTGCATTACTGTTATGATATATGCAGAAAGCCTATAATTAATTAACAATATGAAGTATTGAATAAGGCGGGACAGCGCATGAATTACTCTACTTAAACAAGTTAGGTAGTGCCAAAATTTCTCTCTCTCTCTCTCAGAAATTTTTTTAGACAAAGAAACTATTTAGGCCGTAGAGAGTGGTATGATGCCCTACAGGTGCTTCACGAATCAATTCACAAGGTAATTCCAAGGTGGCCCGACAGATCAATTGACAATTGAACCTGAGAAAGTAATACCTAATTAGCAAGTAAAAGATTAAAAAAAAAAAATTCATTGAACGAGAAATTAACTCAATCAGTAAAGACGGCTAAACGGGAACTTTGTAAAGAGTAACATCCTGAATCTGAAAATTGTAAACTATGTATAGCATTACGGCACATGAGTGAAGAAAAGATAAAGAAATACTTACCATAGGAAAAAACAAATGTCGTTTCTGAAGTATTTGGAGGGCTGGATGTAGGGCTTTGAGTTGGAGTATCACGTTGTGTGGGAAGGGAATAACCTTGAATAGAAACCGAAAAATGCAAATATTTTAGTCAATGGAATTACGATGCTTGCAATTGAAATCCTATACAATTTGGAAAGGTAAAAAGTGAAAGCTGGAGGAGCTGAAGCTGATTGACTGTTATACACATCGTTAGAAGCACAAGCAATACTTTTCGCTTGTGAATGGGCATGATTGCAAGTTTAAGGCAAACGGCTGAAATCAAGCTACAAATTAGAAATTTACCAAATGTGTAACCTAAGAAAGCCAGAGGAACTTTGTTGGGAGTAGCATCCTGGGATTGGAAGATGAAAACTATGGTTTAGAATTAATGCATGTGAATGAGGAAACAAAGAACCAAATACCTACCAGAGGAAAAGATGTTGTTGCTGAAATTGTTCAAGGGCTGGAAGTTGTACCAGTTGTCACAGCAAGTCAAGGGAAGTAAGGATCTGAAAAAGAAGAACTTTATTCTGATAGCTCATTTTCAGACTCAGAATAGGGATTTTGAGTTGTAGTATCACTTTGAGTGCGAAGGGTATCATCTTGAGTAGAAACCTAAAAATGCAAATACTAGTCAATGGAATTACATATGCTTGAAATAGAAAATTTAGAAAAGTAAAATTTACCAAAAGCTTACCGTGGGGGAGGTGCCAAGTGATAAACCCCCATATACATCAGTGGGAGCAAAGGCGGCGCTTTTAGCCTGTGAATGAGCATTAGTAAGTGAAAGACAAAAAGGCTGAAGTCAAGATATAAAGTCCATAAATAAGAATTTACTAAATCAGTAGGCAGAGAAGGCTGAAGAGGATCTGTGATGGGAGGCCTTTTTTTTT